CGGCGAGAGAAGTTCACCTTGTCTTAATCAATATAGTCAGAAGAGGACGTCGGATGATATAGGCGGACTCGTACAGTGGACTCTTATGAAATCTCTTATGATTATGGAAAGGGTTTTGTTTCCTTTATTTACATGTTATGTTGTGTACCATCACACGAAACTAATTATTCGTTCACTGAAAACTGATAATATTACAAAGTGATTGATTATGTAGTTTACGTGTCAGACCAAAAGTCACTCCTAAAATATACATAAATATATTAAAGCGACCGCACATTTTCCATAATCTGACGAAATCTCTGCTAAAACTATATCATAACCATGTGATTATGAATCACTATCAAATAGTGATGATACCAGGTGATCGCGAAAAGGTAAGCGTATTATGCTCTGCCGGTGGCACCCGCCACAAACACACGCAGATATCTCAAAGACACCACTACACCTCCGTGTTTATGTAGGTTATGTGACCGCCAGTGTGTCGAACACGAAGTACATTTCCTCACAGAATGTGAATTCTACTCTGATCTACGATATGACTATTCTCATTTGTTTTCTCCAATACATACTTGTCTAAGAAGTTTAACCCCAGAAGACCAATTTATATATGTTATGCAGAATGATAGTCTAGCTATTCCCCTAGCCGCAGTTGCTACTGCTTTGTATAAAAGAAGAAAATTTCAACTTGCATTGTAAGTAGTGCACTTCTGATCCACAAGTATCTCACTAAACGATACTAGCATAATCTCTTCATATAAAACTGAGCTATGTTTTGATCTCTCGTGTCTCATAGGCCAACCGGCCGGGTGGTATATTATATATTTTGTCTTGTACTTTGAATGTATGTATTTTTATACTGCGTGACACGCAAATAAAATATTATCTTATCTTATCTTATCTTATCTTATCTTATCTTATCTTATCTTATCTTATCTTATCTTATCTTATCTTATCTTATCTTATCTTATCTTATCTTATCTTATCTTATCTTATCTTATCTTAACAAACACGGAAACATATGGTACAATTGAAAACAGGGAATTGCATCGGACATTATTTTGGTCACTGATGCGTCAAATATGGAAATATCATGTACATGTCTACTGCTACTATATATGATATCTGTGGATTATATTGTTACATGCATAGATTGTGGAGTTTATGAAGAACGGTAACTTTGAACATTCAATTGAAAACTTATGATCGGAAATAGTAACATGCATATTTTTTTTAAATGACATCATTGGTGTTTGATAATAACTTTATTGATCATTTATAACAATAATGGCTGTAGTCGTGGCAACGTCCAAACACTCGGGAAGTTGTAATCTATCGGACCGTCATTCAGGCGATGTTTCTGACAGATCACGATCTGAAAAATACTATCACGAAAGTGTGTCCTGTGGATAAGCCGCCCCCTTTCTACAGAATCCTTTTTCTTGTCCTCAAAATTCGGCTTATCTGCGGACATATACGGTATGCAACCTTTTGAAAGCTTTACTAAGGCCTTGAATGCTGTAACCATAGATCTAACAACAGGCAAGAACCGCATGATACCCTTTGAAATGTTAGCGGAAAGAGCATGCTCGATTGAACCTCAAAACTTGTGAAATGCAGCCAAATCATTTCATCAAGATTTTGTAAATGATTTATTTAGTAAATATTCATGATCTTTAAAACTTCAAATGAAAACATCCCAATTTTTGGGTTACCTTTTCCAGATAACATTGGTTGATCTGTAAAGCTTTTTATTTATGCAAAAAATAGCACTTCAGTAAATCAATGCATTTTATTATCCCTTTCAAACCGACACAGTAACACATGTTGGCCAGATTTCATCGATCAGTTGACCTTTTGGCATGTTTCTCGCTGTGTACGCTGGTGTTCATTCAAGGCGGTCAGTGTTTTCTGTCTCGGGTAGAATCAGTCGACCAGAACTAAAGACAAAGTTATGATTTACAAATTTCCCACCTCTCACATTATATATATTATATATATATTTTGTTTATATTGTGTATAGTGTCTCATGAGCCCATGTCTGACTGGACGCACTCCATACATCTTTTATCTTACGCGCATCGATTTTATATTGTACATGTTGTGCGTGTGACACTTTAATAAACATTTTACTACTGCTACTACTGCATAAAGGAACCTTTTCAAGGTAACCCAACTCATTTACGGGTGAATAGAATACTCTTTTCCGTCGTAGTCATATGAAGAAACATTTCTATAACTGTAATATTAAAGTAGGTGGAGTGTTTCACACCCATAGACGGAAGAGAATCGAATATCCCACTATACAGAAACAAAAATGGCGTGTGTTAGTATTTTATTCTTCTTCATTTTAACAGAAGAAGAAGAAGACGAAGAAGTAAACATAAAATGCGAGTATATAATGCACAACGGTCGGCCAACATTGACCCATGAGACACCAACATCTTCTAAAACAAGTTCACATAAATAATAAAATGAACATATTAACCATCAGGCTTGCAAAATAGTTACATAATTAAATAAAATACACCTCATACTCATTTATATCTTTAAACCATGTTCACGTTGTTAATACATGTCTTGTGCTACACCGAACAAGCGCACGAATAACAAAACAATGTTATCCCAGGGTAATATAACCCATATCGCACTACACTAAGGTTTGACTTAATCCAAAGTATATACGGTAATCTAATACATACTTACATTAATATATATCATTATCGATAATCCCTTTCTTACGATATGCATACACGTTTTAATAACAGTTGATATGACTTAAAAGGGACGTGTATACTTACAATAGGCAAATGTACAATGATACTTATTCGTGTATTGTTATTATGATGGTCTAGGGGCGGTCGGGTAGCCTAGTGGTTAAAGCGTTCGCTCGTCACGCAGAAGACCCGGGTTCGATTCCCGACATGGGTACAATGTGTGAAGCCCATTTCTGGTGTCCTCCGCCGTGATATTGCTGGAATATTATTAAAAGCGGCGTAAAACCATACTCACTCACTCGACCTTATGATCCATATTATCACTCTTTTAACTCCTACTCTTATTGTTATGTTCAGTCTTATATAGTCGGTGTCGTATTTTCACTCTCACTATTACACTTATTTTTACTCTTGCACTTATATTTACACTTATTTTTACTCTTGCACTTATATTTACACTTATTTTTACTCTTGCACTTACATTTACACTTATTTTTACACTTGCACTTAAATTTACACTTAGTTTTACTCTTGCACTTATATTTACACTTATTTTTACTCTTGCACTTATATTTACACTTATTTTTACTCTTGCACTTAAATTTACACTTATTTTTACCTTTGCACTTAAATTTACACTTATTTTTACTCTTGCACTTATATTTAAACTTATTTTTACTTTTGCACTTAAATTTACACTTATTTTTACTCTTGCACTTAAATTTACACTTATTTTTACTCTTGCACTTAAATTTACTCTTATTCAATGCGTTTGTAGGGTAGGGACTAGGGTGAGCAGAGAGTGGGGGCAGTTTGAGCTGTCACCTTGACAGTTTATAGTTTATAACATATGCGGCATTTGTATATACTACGACAAGAATATCAATATCTCCTGGGAGAAATCCAATTCGCTGTCTGTCGTGGAAGGTCAGGCCTATACGTAGTTTGGGATGCAGATTTGGGACAAACTCCTGGATGCCCATATCAAGGAAAAACTTCGGGCAGAGTACAAATGTAGACTTAAGAAAATCTGGAGTTCAGAACTGAATGCTCGCAATATTGTTAAAGCCACAAATACTATGCTGTACCCGTCTTTTCATATTCTTTTGGTGTTGTTGACTGTACTACTACTACTACTACTACTACTACTACTACTAATACTACTAATACTACTACTACTAATTTCTAATTAATTAAAAAAGGGCCCCGAGCTTATGATGAGCCCAACCAGCCTGACTGTGCTAGGATCACCCAAACCCTCTTTGCTGCATTTTTTATTTTAATCTGTAAATAATAAAAAATTCTAATTAATTAAAAAAATATATAACCACCGTTATAATAATAATAGTAACAAGTAAAAAGTTTTGTCTCATCCGAAGCATGCCAAATGCTATTATTATCTCATTCAGACGAGACAATACTGTGCACTTGAATGCTGTCTGATTAGGTTGATCTTGTTCCGCCTGAGTTCGTGCCATATGTTGTCAAATTGACCATTAACAATTACGGCATTGTGAGGTCTAGTTTTAGAGCGTATGCTCAAACGTTTCACAAAACGAACGTGAAAAAACAGACATAATTGCCAACAATAACCTTTTCAAGGAAATCCGAGTCATCTACGGGTGAATAGAATTCTCTCTGCCGCCGTAGTCATATGAAGAAACATTTCTATAACTGTAATATTAAAGTAGGTGGGGTGTTTCACGGCCTTAGTCGAAAGAGAATCGAATACTCCTCTATACAGAAACACACATGGCGCGAAGATTAGATCGTTCAGAGAAAGAGACTGGTATATGTATTTATAGTCTGAAATAATATAGTCGATTCATAAAAGAGTGAAACCCAACATGCCCTATCCAGAATAAAAAAATGTGCTTTAGTACCGCAATAAAAAGTATCGCCGGCCCACGTGTTTTGCTATCATAATGTTAATCTAGAATCCACGGATGAGCTCCTCAAACGTTCTGAGCCGACGTATGATCTATTCATGCTCAGCCGGCGTGTCACCTGTGCGTACGGTCTGTTTGAACAAATTGTTTACTGTTTGTTGCAGTTGTTGATAAGCAGTTAAATTGGGGAAAGTGATATGAGATTTATACCCAACTGGCGCGTGGCTCGATAACAGTGTAACACAGAATACGCGGCCAATGACGAACTGATTGGGCATATTTGCATATTCCAAACTTCTGACAAAACCTATACGATTTCTATCACTTTTAGATTTATCTCGCATTTTGTTCTTTTCATCTGCTGAGAGAAATAAATGTTCGCACATCTATTGTTCGAACCTATTTCTCATTTAGCATGTAACGCTCCTCAAACAGTGGATTTCGACAGAGTGTTGATTGACGTTGAAGAGTCGTGAGAGCTTTGACGCGATGAAATGCAGTCTTCAGTGAAAACAGAAAGTTACGGGAACGTGCACATGCACGTTTTCAACGATGAAATTAACATCTGTTCGTCAAGTAAGTAAAGAGTTTCTGCTCCTTATTATCATATTGATATATATTTTTCCGTATACAGCCTCAGACGTATTACCGTCTTCGCCATGCTTGTGGTTTTGACACAGAGGCCCATCCACTGTACGACCCGGAATATGAAGAGGGCGTCATGGAAAATGATGAATACAAACTTCTTTGGCATAGTCCCGTATACAGCTAACAAACCTGATCTTATCCTTTTTGACAAATCCAATGAAATCATTTATATCATTGAATTTTCTGTCCCTTTTGACACTAATGTGATTGACAAGATTTATGAAAAACATTGCAAATATGCAGATAACGCGATCGCGTTCGAAATGTCACGCTTGCACCCCAAGTACCAAGTTGTCCGACTCCCCATTGTTCTCGGTACCTTAGGTTTGGTGCCTCCCAATATGTTGTCTGACATCGGGAGAGTACCCGGGTTCGCCACCAGGAATACAGCCCTTCTGACAATCTGGGTAATGCTATAATAATATATTACTTTACTTGACATCCCCCCCCATGAATAAAATCATTTGAATGAACGGTGTAAAATTTTAAATATGGTTGATTCCCATGACCCGAAGAAAAGTTATAATATGTTGCATCTTTAAGCTTCTAATGACAAATCTAATTGGGTGTCTAAAATTAAGCGCCTCTTGTATAATATTGGATTTGACTATATTTGGGAAAAACAGATTGTCGATTTTCCAAACTTGTTTATTGATGAATTTGTATCACGTTTAGAATTGATTTATATAATAGCTCTAAGATGAACTATTATTCCCTATTTAAAACATCATTCTGTGCAGAGCCATATTTATGAAGGATGGTATCACAAAACACCAAGAAAGTTGAGGATCTGTAAAATATATGCAATACTGGTTGTGAGGAAAATGAATATCACTTTTTGGTCATTTGTAAAAAATAACTGAATATATAGTCTTTATTCATTATGTATTGTAGGCCACAGGCCCATTATACATTACAGAGTATACAGTGAGAGAGAAACATTATAATACAAATTTTTAGGTAATTTACACAAGACGTAGTTTCATTGCTTTGTACATGAATACGGATAGATTTTGAATTATTATTACACTATTTGATGCCATTAAAATATTAAACGTATGTATGGAGGGGTACAGTAAAACTTTTTGGGTATATATTTTCGTCTTAAATGTACGTATCGATCAAAAATTATTATAAAATGAAATTCATCTTCAATTTGATTTTGATTGCAAGCCAGACATAACCTTTCAGATTTTAACTCTCTTTTTTATACCTCCCAGTCTCAATTCGGAGCTAGGTGGAACAGCATCTAAATTGCGCAATAATTCTTTTAAATATGTTTCTAAGCCGAAATTTGTTTTGAATAAACTGTAAAGAGTTGATTTTGAGCTTGATGAAAGAGCTGCATGCAAATTTAGTTCATAAGATAATTTTAGACGGAGTATAAATTCAGACAGAAAGCAGGAGATATTACTTATAAATTGTTGGTCCCATATGTAACCAAAACAAGTAGAGAATAGGATGTGTTTTACTTTTGATGCCCAGTTAGTTTTACCATTACTACAGTCTAACAATAATAAGTTATTACATTTCTTTACCAAAACTTAATATATGGCAACAATATATCCATGAAAAGGATTATGTTCATCCGACACTAGATAAGGGGCGGTCGGGGGAGCCTAGTGGTTAAAGCGTTCGCTCGTCACGCAGAAGACCCGGGTTCGATTCCCGACATGGGTACAAATTGTGAAGCCCATTTCTGGTGTCCCCCCGCCGTGATATTGCTGGAATATTGCTAAAAGCGGCGTAAAACCATACTCACTCACTACACTAGATAAATTTAATACTTTAATGTGTGACTATGACCAAACTGCAATTAGAAATATTACAATGTATTTGTGTTACGCCTTTAGTTATTGTAAATCTGCATTATATCCTGTGGACCTTTTTATGTACCATGGGTCGTTGGCCTACACATAATAAGAATAAATAAAGATAAAGAATAAAATCACAAACTATTCAATAGAACCTTGAGGTAAGAAGATGTTTACATTATGTATACATTTTATTATGTGCCCATGTCAAGTTTTAACATCTCATGAAATATTGTATATATTAACAAAAATAATGACATGACATTCATTACTGAGACAGTTAAATGCTGATCGTTGTCAGACTAATTTGTAAACTCTTTGTTTCAATGTCATAGAATTAGTAGTGGGATAATACATTATACACAGAGAGAGAGAGAGAGAGAGAGAGAGAGAGAGTGAGAGAGAGAGAGAGAGAGAGAGAGAGAGAGAGAGAGAGAGAGAGAGAGAGAGAGAGAGAGGGAGAGAGAGAGAATAGATCAAAATTAGATCTACCCGTTAAGATCCGGGCCAGAATAGATCTTTAGCAGTTCACGCTTGCCGTAAAAGGCGACTATGCTTGTCATAAGAGGTGACTAACGGGATCGGGTGGTCAGGGTCGCTGACTTGGTTGATGCATGTCTTCGTACCCCATTTGCGTGGATCGATGCTCATGATGTCAATGACTGGATTGTCTGGTCCTGACTCGGTAATTGACAGACCGCCGTCATATAGCTGGAATATTGCTGAATGCGGCGTTAAATAACAGACACACAAACATAATTAGATCTAGACATGAAGGGTCAACGTGACCAAAACTCTCCACAAGACTGTATGACAAAAGGCAACGAGAGTTGAATTTTATTAAGGTGAACAATTGCATGTGTTTGTTACGGGGCCACACCCCAGGCCGAATACGCCCACCTTTTCGCGAACATCTGGTATCACCACTATGTGATAGTGATTCCTAAACACATGTTTATGAATATGATAAAGTCAGTACTGTACAATGGACTCTGCTTTTAACAGCTGTTTGTTATGATTATGGAAATGTGTTTTGTGCAATAGTTGCTTGACAACCCTTTCTAGTGCTTATTCTGCTTCTTTACCGCCTTCGTGGTGTAGTGGATAGAGCGTCTGCATGGTGACCGCCTCCGTGGTGTAGTGGACAGAGCGTCTACCCGGTGATTGCCTCCGTGGTGTAGCTGACAGAGCGTCTACCCGGTGACCGCCTCCGTGGTGTAGAGGACAGAGCGTCCGCCCGGAGACTGCCTCCGTGTTGTAGAGGACAGAGCGTCTGCCCGGAGACTGCCTCCGTGTTGTAGAGGACAGAGCGTCCGCCCGGAGACTGCCTCCGTGGTGTAGTGGACAGAGCGTCTGCCCGGTGACCGCCTCCGTGGTGTAGTGGATAGGGCGTCTGCCCGGTGACCGCCTCCGTGGTGTAGTGGACAGAGCGTCTGCCTGGTGACCGCCTCCGTGGTGTAGTGGACAGAGCGTCTGCCCGGTGACCGCCCCCGTGGTGTAGTGGACAGAACGTCTGCCCGGTGACCGCCTCCGTGGTGTAGTGGACAGAGCGTCTACCCGGTGACTGCCCCCGTGGTGTAGTGGACAGAACGTCTGCCCGGTGACCGCCTCCGTGGTGTAGTGGACAGAGCGTCTACCCGGTGACTGCCCCCGTGGTGTAGTGGACAGAACGTCTGCCCGGTGACCGCCTCCGTGGTGTAGTGGACAGAGCGTCTACACGGTGACTGCCCCCGTGGTGTAGTGGACAGAACGTCTGCCCGGTGACCGCCTCCGTGGTGTAGTGGACAGAGCGTCTACCCGGTGACTGCCCCCGTGGTGTAGTGGACAGAACGTCTGCCCGGTGACCGACTCCGTGGTGTAGTGGACAGAGCGTCTGCCTGGGGACCGCCTCTGTGGTGTAGTGGAGAGAGCGTCTACCCGGTGACCGCCTCCGTGGTGTAGTGGATAGAGCGTCTGCCTGGTGATTGCCTCCGTGGTGTAGTGGACAGAGCGTCTGCCCGGTGACCGGCTCCGTGGTTTAGTGGACAGAGCGTCTACCCGGTGACCGCCTCCGTGGTGTAGTGGACAGAGCGTCTACCCGGTGACCGCCTCCGTGGTGTAGTGGACAGAGCGTCTACCCGGTGACCGCCTCCGTGGTGTAGTGGACAGAGCGTCTGCCCGGGGACCGCCTCCGTGGTGTAGTGGACAGAGCGTCTGCCCGGGGACCGCCTCCGTGGTGTAGTGGACAGAGCGTCTACCCGGTGATTGCCTCCGTGGTGTAGTGGACAGAGCGTCTGCCCGGTGACCGCCTCCGTGGTTTAGTGGACAGAGCGTCTGCCCGCTGACCGCCTCCGTGGTGTAGTGGACAGAGCCCCTGCCCGGGGATCGCCTCCGTGGTGTAGTGGACAAAGCTTCTACCTGGTGATTGCCTCCGTGGTGTAGTGGACAGAACGTCTGCCCGGTGATTGCCTCCGTGGTGTAGTGGACAGAGCGTCTGCCCGGTGACCGCCTCCGTGGTGTAGTGGATAGAACGTCTGCCTGGTGACCGCCTCCGTGGTGTAGTGGACAGAGCGTCTGCCTGGTGACCGCCTCCGTGGTGTAGTGGATAGAGTGTCTGCCCGGTGACCGCCTCCGTGGTGTAGTGGATAGAGCGTCTGCCTGGTGACCGCCTCCGTGGTGTAGTGGATAGAGCGTCTGCCTGGGGACCGCCTCCGTGGTGTAGTGGATAGAGTGTCTACCTGGTGACCGCCTCCGTGGTGTAGTGGACAGAGCGTCTACATGGTGACCGCCTCCGTGGTGTAGTGGACAGAACGTCTGCCCGGTGATTGCCTCCGTGGTGTAGTGGATAGAGCGTCTACCCGGTGACCGCCTCCGTGGTGTAGTGGATAGAGCATTCGCCCATTGTACGATTCCGACTATATCACGAGCATGGGATTATGACTCACTAACAAATTGTGGTGACACCAGGTGTTCGCGAAGTTTTGAGCGTACCCTGCTCCCCAGGTGGCACCCGTAACACACACATGCAAAGGCAAGGCAATTGTTCTAAAAAAAGTCAACCCTCTAGTCATACAGTCTTGTGGAGAGGTTTTGGTCACTATGAACCTTTATACCTACACTCTTCAAAAAGAAGAAGAAAATAAACGCACAGGTTGTATGTAGTTCATTGAACCTGACTACACAAAAAAATCCGGTATATATATTGGATATATGTTATTGAAAAATGTTGGCGGCCTGATATTCGACAAACGATGCTACAGTCGACTGTTCCACCTTCGTCATCGCAATGCCACAGCTACGGAGACTGCAGGACGCATCCCTGATTTGAGGAGGATATCGTACCAGGCTGTCAGGAACAATCTTCACGAGGCTGGAATAAGGACCCAGAAGATCAGTTATCGTCCCTGTTCTGCAACAGATCCACCGACAGCGACGCTTGCGTTGGTGCCATACCTTACAACCTTGGAATTTGAGAAACTGGAGACGAGTGTGTTTTAGCTATGAATCACGATTTCCTCTTCACCGGCGAGATGGAAGACAACGTGTTTCTCGTCGTCGAAATGAGCTTTTTGCCCGACATTGTGTACGTGAATTCGACAAGTTCGGTGGCGGTAGTGTCATGGTGTTGGGGACCATATCCTAAACCACGAGATCTGACTTGGTTGTGGTTCAGGGAATTTTGACAGAAAATCGCAACATGAATCAGCCTTCTCCCAATCACTTACCACCAGAGGGAGCTGCTTCAACAGGACAACGCTCCACCGCACACAGCTCGTGTCACGGTAGACTACCTTCATCATACCAACATCAATTTCGAACACCTCTGGGATGAACTCGATCGACGTGTACGTCAACGTCAGAACACGCCGCAGCACTCCCACAACTGGCCAACGCGTTACAAGCAGAATGGCGCAGAATTCCGCAGGACAGAATTCGTACCTTATCCAGTCAGTGCCGAGGAGATGCAGAACCGTGATTGCTGCCGGGGGCGATCACACGAGACCAGCACAACCTTGTGACAATGACAATGTACAACGACAACATGTAACTTTCGAGCTCCAATATTTCATATTTGTATCTATGATATTAATTTAAATATATCGACTTTATTAGGTACAATAAATTTACTAAAAATCTCCCTGTGCTAACAGATGAGACGGTTTCTTACCATCACAATTAGTGTTGATTTTCAGTTTTTCATAATACATTGATATGGTTAGAGTTACTCTATTCATATTTGGAGCTACTAGGCGTTTTGCATAAATAATTTTGATGTTTTTTTATTCATTGCAGGTGACGATCGAAACAACAAGCAACTCCCTCAATTCAGCAGCTTCGTCGGGGCGGTAGACATCGAGGAACGCCCGTCCTCTACCCGGGTATGGTGTTATAGCGAGGGAAAATTCAGATGAAGTAGTTCGACTTTTTCTTCACGTGGTACAGATCAGTACCATATCCGGTTAAAGGTGCGCATGCGTAGCGCCTTTTATTTCGAATGTAAATATCGGTCATAGGCAATTCTCCTGTTGCGCGCTGCCTAACCTGCTACTTGTCACTTAAACAGAAAAATGCCATCCTGGATCCATCCTCCAGATGTCGCAGTAACCACTGTCAACAACGGTCACCAGAAGTATCTAGCAGAAATATCAAACGGAATTCATTATGGGAAGCTGGTGCCAATAGCATGCACAAGTTGTAAATCGAAATCTTTCGCAACAAACTACAATATCTAATCTATACTTTAGTCTATCATACGTCACTTCAAAACAAATTGGCCTATTTAAACAGAGCACTGTATTTTCTTATTTTCCTTCCGGTTCATGCTTTACTGAGTGGGGGTCTGGAGCCCAATACATGTAGCCCGCTATTTGTTTCCATTCGTTACCGAGGTGAGGTGAAATTGGGTTTAACGTCGCGTCCAAGATTATTGCACTTATATAGCGACGTGCATGCACGTGTATGTGTGTGTGGCTGCTTGTACTAGTCCGGACTGATGCCGATTTATAGTGCTAGCTCACTGAGATACCATGCCGCAGTTTAACATGAATACCCCACTCAGACACAGTATACTGACTCCGAGCCGGCCAGTCCTTGTTTTAGCCCCTTAATGCCGAGCGCCAGACAGGGTAACAACAAGTACCATCTTTTAACGTCTTTTTGTATGACGCGGCACGGGATCGAACCCTGGACCTTCCGCTCTCCGGGCGGACGCTCTACCACAAGACCACGGAGGCGGTCCATTCGTTACCGAGAACCAGTGAATGCCATGTTCAGTATCGTCCAATCCCAGCCTACAAGGCATCGGCCACCACCAGTCTTCTAATTTAGGTAGACAGGAGCCCAGACAGAAATAATACATAGTACAATAAACACTCGTCGTTTATTTTTTAAAATGAAGATATAAATTTTTCTGTTTATGTTTCAGGATGTGGTGTCGCTGATCGGCAAACGGCGTCCTATCAAGATACACATCGGCTGGATGCACAAGGTAGGAGACAAGTACCGGCAAGTCAGACGCAAATATGGCGGTGGTACAAGGGAGCTTATCCTGGACAACCTCAACATATACCCGGCGGATATAGTTCAAAGGGCGATAACTCTCTTCTTCCCAGAGGGCGCTTCACAGGTCGTCAGTGTGGACGAAGTGGAGTCCTTTGCACTGGGTAACTTCTGTGGCGAAGAACTTCTTCGATTCAGTGACGACGGCGGGAACGAGTGTTCTTTAGGACAATACCTCAAAGCTCAAGGAACTTATGCGTCGAGGTGCTATATCTATCTGCTCACAAAAAAGAAAGTCACGCGAGTTGTTAACGCGGTTAGACGGGACACTTTATCCCGTCGTAGACGCCTACCTAAATCTTCCTATCATTCTCCAGAGCAGCAAGTGAGATATCCCTACGAATCGGATCTGGATCACCAACCGAATGAATGCAAACAGTCACAGAGTTCTGTCTGTCTGACGCCTAGGACAATTCAACATGACTTCCAGACATCCAGACTGCTTCCCACAGACAAGCTCGGATTCATACTGGAGGACAAATCTGGCCTGGAGATCAGATACAGCTTTGATCCCTGCTCACCCTTCGCTACCCTTGTGTCAGTTGATTCGGAATTTACATGGCAGGATTGTTTAGACTTTTCCCGATTTCGATCCCCTTATATCAACGATGCCCACTTTGAGCCTACGGACCACGGATTCGTTGTGAAGAAGATACAGAAAAATAGAAATGTTTTTGTGAACATGGACCTAGATGCCGGATCTGGACAGACTGTATTTGTATTCCCTATGGAATCTTCTTGCGCTGGGTTAATTGTACACCAGCCTTCAGAGTTGTGGGGGTATGATAGAAATCACATTGTCCTTGGAGTCGTTGCTAGTTGTCATGGCCTTTCAAACCCAATGTACTCCTGGCACAGGGACGGGGCTTTATATAAGGAAGGGTTGAACCTCTGCTGTATCATCGTGAATTTGCCTGGCGTCTACTACTGCAGGATTACATTTGGGAACAGCTATGACATTTCTCATCCTTTGCAAATTGTCGAGTTTGCTGACTGCTCCTTTAAAAAACAAAAGCTTGAGCTTGCGTCTATTGATGTCAATGCGAACTGTTGTCAAGATGTCGCCGATTCGCCATACCGAATTATCCCATCAGTTAAGAGAGATAACTTAGACGTTGATTTCACCGGAAAGGTTTGCAGTGGTACATTTGGTACCGTGTATCGGGGTAGCTGGTTGGCCACGGACGTGCACGTGGAATGTGTCAGTCTCACAGATGAGGATGGAGACGATTTCGTGGAATCTATTCGCGAAGTCAATAGCAGGATACGCCATCCAAATATTCTGTCTCTTATGGCGTGTGTCGAAACCAACAACACACTGATGCTTCTCTCTGAGTATCATGAAGGTGCAACACTAGAATCAGTGACGTTCAGGGCTGAAACTAGGCAATATCTCTGCCTTGACACCGCCCATAAACACATCGTTGCTAAGCAGTGTTGTCAAGCATTGGTCTACCTTCACGCGCTGTCGCCTCCCATCATGCATCGCTGCATACATCCGGGTAGTGTCTGGCTATTGAACCAAGGTGCAACTGCAAAGCTGTGCAGCCCATATGTGTCCAATGGTTCGAGTAGGTGTTACGAGGAGATGGCGTTGTACCTGCCCCCGGAAAGATTGGTTTCTCAACAGGATGGCGATCTGGCCGCAGACGTTTGGGGGATGGGTGCGACCCTGACGGAGATGTTCACGGAGAGTCGGCTCTGGGGGAAACTCATGCAGCATCACGCGCCTATTGATGTTGTAACGAAACAGTTGGAATTTGGACAGAGTCCCGTGTCTTTGCAATCGTTGGACATGTACAGGGAGATTATTACAGCCTGCTTGAACATGGACCCGTCACTGAGGCCTTCTGCGATGCAGTTGCTGTCTCACATCAAAGAGTGAGTGAGTGAGTTGGGTTTAACGCCGCTTTTAACAGTATTCCAGTTATATCACGGCGTGTCAGCTTAATGTGGGAGGAAAGCCCGAAGTGGTGCAGGTCTCAGACGTTTACCACTTCGGTAAACCCACGAGCACGGGTATGGTGCTGACAAACCTAGAAAAATAAGTGGGGTGAACCGGGATTCGAACCCACTCTGCACAGCGAATCGCGGCGCCTTAGACGACCTAAGAGAGAAACATAACTGAAGGCAGCCTATTGCTCAGATGACGTCATGTAATAAATTTATTATGAACAATGGATGGCGTCATATCGTATTTTACTCAACAAAGAAGCACTGTGACGTCATGGCTTCAACTGACAAATCAACATTGAGAATTGCTAAGATGCATTTATCAGAAAGTTATAACACACGGTCATTCTATACTTATGGGTAATATTTGACTGTCTGAACCGGTAAAACAGATGATGATCCTGTTGAAATTAAAATGTAAAAAGGTTTTTTTTCAACATTATACACCTTAATATTTGTTTCACCTTTGTCCATATTTATTGAGGAAATGCAAACAATATCTTTAACACTTCATTGCTTATTTGTTTACGATGGCAGGGTGTAAATAATCGACTTAGGACCAGACAAACCAGTGGTTGATATTATGAGCAACGTCCCACGCCGTCCGGGTACGATGACATGCAATCAACCAAGCCACTAAGCCTGACTCTCGTTCTATTAAGTCGCCTTATACGAAAAGCATGGATGTATATTATTGGAATGCTACATCGCCCTTCTGTTTCTCATGCATTGATAATGGATGCAAGGAACATCTCATACGATTACACATCCTTGTATTATCATTGCAAATAGAAAGCATCAATGCCAGAGAATAACCAGTCTCGATTATCAGACGACATATATTCCATTGGGCGTCAAAAAAGACAAAATAGCGGTGAAAATTATACGAATGGATCACTGAAAATCAGTGATGACACCAGGTGTTCGCAAAAAGGGTCAGCATGTTCTGCTCCCGCCACTCACACAATTTGCTTAATAAGGTTCGTTTGTTGCCAGACGCCACACAGCACTACTACAGTGGGCAATTCATTTTTGTCTGAGTGGGGTATTGATGTTAAACTGCGGCATGAGTCCGGACTAGTATAAGCAGCCACACACACGCAATAATCTTGGACGCGACCTTCAACTCACCTCTTTGCTCGTGGGATTCGTTTGACCTGCAGTTATTACTCTTGGCTTTCTCCCAACATCAAGCAGATACGCCGTGATTCATCTGACATGACTGAGTCACTGTTCAATGTGAACCTAACTGACTCATTAAGCACGTGCGAAATCTGTTTCCAAATAGTCCGACTTACATCTCTCCATATACAGGACCAATGTGTATGCATTATGTTAACGAGGCACATCCGTATTCTGATATAATCACACAAAATATTTAAGAGGATAACATGTTTTTTCAGTTTCATGTTGTTTAACGCCGCACTCAGCAATATTCCAGCTATATGACGGCGGTCTGTAAATAATCGAGTCTGGACCAGACAATCCAGTGATTGACACCATGAGCATCGATCCACGCATTTGGGATACGATGACAAGCATCAACCAAGTCAGCGAGCCTGACCACCCGATCCCGTTAGTCGCCTCTTACGACAAGCATTGTCGGGATAACATGTATTACAATAACAAGCAATAGGATATTATCATTACGTAAAACATGTATGATTATAACGAGGGACATAGATACTGGGATAACAAGGGACAGAGGGTCAAGGGTATATCTTTGTACGGCGTGTGTTTTACACTGGAGAGGGTACGGTGGCCGGTCGGCTAGAGCGCAACGATTCGCTGTGCAGAGTTGGGTCCCTTAGGCGCACCAGGAACTTATGACAGCGGACTTATGATGGTGGGTTCGAATCCCGGTTCAATTCGCTTTGCAGAGTTGCGTCCCTAGACGTGCCATAAACTTGTGATCGTGGATTCGAATCCCGAATAACCCTGATTATGTTTCAAAGTGTGTTATGATCGGCACCGTTCACCAAAGTGGTAATTATCTAAGCCTTGCATCACAAAGGTTTTTCCTCCCACATCAAGCTAACATTACGTTGCACACCTGAAGTACCGGAGTTAAAGAAATTCACCTTCTCTCTTATCCGCTAAAGCAGCGTTTCATTTTCACATTTATCCGCTTGACCCGTGTAGATTCAGGTAGAGAATAGATCTTCAGCTACCCATGCTTGCCTTATAAGAGGCGACTAACGGAATCGGGTGGTCAGGCTCGCTCACTTGTTTGATTCATCGTAGATGGGTTCTCATGATTTCAATCACTGGATTGTCTTTTCCAGGCTCGATAAGTAACCCACTCGCCTTCATATAGGTGAAATATTGCTGAGTGCGGCGTTAACACAACATCATTTCAACATTTATGAAAAAAGTGGCCTACAACCTCACTCACTCACTCACTCACTCACTCACTCACTCACTCACTGACTCACTCACTCACTCACTCACGTAGTTGTATAGTTCGGGGTACCTCAGTCAGATGCCTTTAACCCCGATGTTAATGGCCAACAAGATATACTACGTACCCTTTTATGGGGTTATAGGCTTTAGAGAGGCTTTACCTACAAGATACGAGGAATAACGTATTATCTATCCTGAGTGAATATATATATTATGATTTGTGACTTTCGCCGTAATTCCGATTTACTGGTAGATGTAACGATACATTGACCATTGTCTTGTCTATGAGGAAATGTAGAGCAATATGCTTGGAAACGTAAAGGAATCAGCCCAGTCAATCTATTGCTGGAACGACGTCCCACGTGACCCTCCACGCCCGTCAGGAACAACGAAGACGTCAATTGTTTGCGACAAGGCGTTGATATGACATGAAGATGTTATGGTCCGTTTCGTAGAAAAATTGAAACAATAGAACACTTGGCCTAAATTAGCCAATCAGCATAAAGCAGGAAAAAATGCTCAGTGAGATATCACTATTTTGCCGTTCTCTCCCTATGGTACCTGCTTCGGTAGGAACTCGAGACTGATATTCTTTGGCGTGTATTTTACTTAACTACGGAAGCCTTTTAGGGCCACTTGGTTTTTTATTTTTCCCCGATACTATCTTGAAATTTCAAGAAACTAAGTTGAAATTTCAAGATACTAAGTTGAAATTTCAAGAAACTAAGTTGAAATTTCAAGATACTATCTTGAAATTTCAAGATACTATCTTGAAATTTCAAGATACAGAAGTTGAAATTTCAAGATACTATATTGAAATTTCAAGATATTAAGTTGAAATTTCAAGATACTAAGTTGAAATTTCAAGATATTAAGTTGAAATTTCAAGATACTAAGTTGAAATTTCAAGAAAATAAGTAAACAACCTAAGATGTAAAAATACGTTTGAAGTGCATAATCTTGAAATTTCAACTTAGTATCTTGAAATTTCAAGATAGTTTCTTGAAATTTCAAGATAGTTTCTTGAAATTTCAAGATAGTATCTTGAAACTTCAACTTAGTATCTTGAAATTTCAAGATAGAATCTTGAAATTTCAACTTCTCTATCTTAAAATTTCAACTTAGTATCTTGAAATTTCAACTTAGTATCTTGAATTTTCAACTTAGTATCTTGAAATTTCAACTTCTCTATCTTGAAATTTCAACTTAGTATCTTGAAATATCAAGATAGAATCTTGAAATTTCAAGATATTATCGAAATTTTTTTTAAAAAAATGGCCCTAAAAGGCTTCCGTACTTAACTGTACAAACACCACAACATTAAATTACCTTTAATACTCGGTTAGGTGATTTTAATTTCAAGGTATGTTTATCAAATTATTTTATTGATTATTATTGGGGTCACTTCACATTTTGTATATTGGTTTTGAGTTTATGCCACATTGAATTTTGGAATAGTTTGAGTGAAAACATGAATTCCTTGAAGCTCTCATACAATCACGTAGACGTCGCGCAAAGCGGTTTCTATTGAAAATATCATCAGCCTTGAAGTCCTGGTAACCAGTCGGCTCTGAGTTGAGGTAAACAACTGGACCAAATAAGCACCAATTTATATTTCCATATAAAATAGTCATTTTTAAAAATCGTATCCTGTGTTATTTTTCTGACAAAACACTTTTGTTTATGTTCCAGTAACATACTTGTGCTCTTGTTGAATTACAGAACCTAAGTTGGGTTATCTCTTGTTAAAGTTCCATGTCAGTATTTATTAGACTACAACTGTATCTCTCCCCTCTGCTTCTTTGCATCAAATAATATGTAAAAGTTTATAACGAGAGCGAAAAGCTTAAAGTTAGAAGAACACTTGAAGAGGTCGAGGTCGCACAGGTGCTCGAGTTTTCACTAACTTGAAGGTCAAGGTCAAGGCTTGTAACTATTTTACACACTGGTGGAGAAGAATATAATATAACGGTACATCTGTTTGAACACCTACGCACATGCAAATAACTACCAAGGCACGTGCAACTTCTAATGTAAGACGGATAGGACCACCTGCGACAATCAATACAGCTACAGAGAAAGACTCGTTGCCATCTGGGGAACTATGCAGTATTCAGGTGCTAATGTTTCAGCGGGTACCGGTGGCATAGTAGACCTTTAACACAAGAAGATAAATATTGATAATAAAGACTTACTGTTGTCGGGTTGGAATGGACCGTATTTGACTTATTTGTACAAACACCACAACAATAAGCCTGCTGAAACTCGACCCTGTCACAATTCGTTATGAGATGATGTATATTTTATTGGAGGTTTGGTTAATTTTAATTCCAGGTATATTTTCAAATTTTATTTCAGTATTGATAAGGCGTCACTTCACTTTATTCCCATTGGTTATGAGTTTAGTTTTAGGCCACATTGAATTTTGGAACATTTCGAGTGAAAACATGAATCCCTTGAAGCTCTCATACAATCACGTAGACGGCGCGCAAAGCTATTCCATTGAACACATCACGAGCCTTGAAGCCCTAGGAAACCATTTGGAACGGAGTTGAGATAAACACCTGGATCAAATAAGCACCAATTTATATTTTCATATAAAATAGTCATTTTTTAAAAATCGCATCCTATGTTACTTTTCTGACGAAACACTTTTTATTCAAGAAACACACCTGTTGAATTACGGAAACCGAATTGATTATCTGATGACAAGCGTTGTTAATTTTCCCTTGCACTATTCATTTAACTCTCCCCTCTGCTTCTTTGCATCAAATAGTAGGACCATCAAAAGTATCATACACTATTCTTGTGCTGGCGTTTCAGCCGAAAAAGAATTCTTGAAAAATTATCATGCTTCAGACCATTGAAAAAACAAATACCTGCCACAAATATTACATTCCAGGTGTTTTCTTAAAATAAATTCAGGCTCATCAGAAAAAATCTAATTTTGATAAAAATTCCAGCACTCCACCCCCTATCTGTAAACACACTTTTTTGTGTCCATTCATGTATGTAAGTGTGAGTGTATGTGTCATTATTGAAGTGAGAGAGTAGGTGTCCATATGTGAGTGTAAATGTAGGTGTCATATGTAAGTGTAAATGTAGGTGTCCATATGTAAGTGCATATGTAGGTGTCATATGTAAGTGTAAATGTAGGTGTCATATGTAAGTGTAAATGTAGGTGTCATATGTAAGTGTAAATGTAGGTGTCCATATGTAAGTGTAAATGTAGGTGTCCATATGTAAGTGTAAATGTAGGTGTCATATGTAAGTGTAAATGTAGGTGTCATATGTAAGTGTAAATGTAGGTGTCCATATGTAAGTGTAAATGTAGGTGTCATATGTAAGTGTAAATGTAGGTGTCCATATGTAAGTGTAAATGTAGGTGTCCATATGTAAGTGTAAATGTAGGTGTCCATATGTAAGTGTAAATGTAGGTGAACATATGTAAGTGTAAATGTAGGTGTCCATATGTAAGTGTAAATGTAGGTGTCCATATGTAAGTGTAAATGTAGGTGTCCATATGTAAGTGTAAATGTAGGTGTCCATATGTAAGTGTAAATGTAGGTGTCCATATGTAAGTGTAAATGTAGGTGTCCATATGTAAGTGTAAATGTAGGTGTCATATGTAAGTGTAAATGTAGGTGTCCATATGTAAGTGTAAATGTAGGTGTCCATATGTAAGTGTAAATGTAGGTGTCCATATGTAAGTGTAAATGTAGGTGTCCATATGTAAGTGCATATGTAGGTGTCATATGTAAGTGTAAATGTAGGTGTCATATGTAAGTGTAAATGTAGGTGTCCATATGTAAGAGTAAATGTAGGTGTCCATGTGTAAGTGTAAATGTAGGTGTCCATATGTAAGTGTAAATGTAGGTGTCCATATGTAAGTGTAAATGTAGGTGTCCATGTGTAAGTGTATATGTAGGTGTCCATATGTAAGTGTAAATGTAGGTGTCCATGTGTAAGTGTATATGTAGGTGTCGATATGTAAGTGTATATGTAGGTGTCCATATGTAAGTGTAAATGTAGGTGTCCATATGTAAGTGTAAATGTAGGTGTCATATGTAAGTGTAAATGTAGGTGTCATATGTAAGTGTAAATGTAGGTGTCCATATGTAAGTGTAAATGTAGGTGTCCATGTGTAAGTGTAAATGTAGGTGTCCATATGTAAGTGAGAGAGTAGGTGTCCATATGTAAGTGTAAATGTAGGTGTCCATATGTGAGTGTAAAAGTAGGTGTCCATATGTAACTGTAAATGTAGGTGTCAATATGTGAGTGTAAATGTAGGTGTCCATATGTGAGTGTAAATGTAGGTGTCCATATATGAGTGTAAATGTAGGTGTCATATGTAAGTGTAAATGAAGGTGTCATATGTAAGTGTAAATGTAGGTGTCATATGTAAGTGTAAATGTAGGTGTCCATATGTAAGTGTAAATGTAGGTGTCATATGTAAGTGTAAATGTAGGTGTCCATATGTAAGTGTAAAAGTAGGTGTCCATATGTAAGTGTAAATGTAGGTGTCCATATGTAAGTGTAAATGTAGGTGTCCATGTGTAAGTGTAAATGTAGGTGTCCATATGTAAGTGTAAATGTAGGTGTCCATATGTAAGAGTAAATGTAGGTGTCCATATGTAAGTGTAAATGTAGGTGTCCATGTGTAAGTGTAAATGTAGGTGTCCATATGTAAGAGTAAATGTAGGTGTCCATGTGTAAGTGTAAATGTAGGTGTCCATATGTAAGTGTAAATGTAGGTGTCCATGTGTAAGTGTAAATGTAGGTGTCCATATGTAAGAGTAAATGTAGGTGTCCATGTGTAAGTGTAAATGTAGGTGTCCATATGTAAGTGTAAATGTAGGTGTCCATATGTAAGTGTAAATGTAGGTGTCCATATGTAAGTGTAAATGTAGGTGTCCATATGTAAGTGTAAATGTAGGTGTCCATATGTAAGTGTAAATGTAGGTGTCCATGTGTAAGTGTAAATGTAGGTGTCCATATGTAAGTGTAAATGTAGGTGTCCATATGTAAGTGTAAATGTAGGTGTCCATATGTAAGTGCATATGTAGGTGTCATATGTAAGTGTAAATGTAGGTGTCCATATGTAAGTGTAAATGTAGGTGTCCATATGTAAGTGTAAATGTAGGTGTCCATATGTAAGTGTAAATGAAGGTGTCCATGTGTAAGTGTAAATGTAGGTGTCCATATGTAAGTGTAAATGTAGGTGAACATATGTAAGTGTAAATGTAGGTGAACATATGTAAGTGTAAATGTAGGTGTCCATATGTGAGTGTAAATGTAGGTGTCATATGTAAGAGTAAATGTAGGTGTCCATATGTAAGTGTAAATGTAGGTGTCCATATGTAAGTGTATATGTAGGTGTCCATATGTAAGTGTATATGTAGGTGTCCATATGTAAGTGTAAATGTAGGTGTCCATATGTAAGTGTAAATGTAGGTGTCCATATGTAAGTGTAAATGTAGGTGTCCATGTGTAAGTGTAAATGTAGGTGTCGATATGTAAGTGTAAATGTAGGTGTCGATATGTAAGTGTAAATGTAGGTGTCCATATGTAAGTGTAAATGTAGGTGTCCATATGTAAGTGTAAATGTAGGTGTCCATATGTAAGTGTAAATGTAGGTGAACATATGTAAGTGTATATGTAGGTGTCCATATTTAAGTGTATATGTAGGTGTCCATATGTAAGTGTATATGTAGGTGAACATATGTAAGTGTAAATGTAGGTGTCCATATGTAAGTGTAAATGTAGGTGTCCATATGTAAGTGTAAATGTAGGTGTCCATGTGTAAGTGTAAATGTAGGTGAACATATGTAAGTGTAAATGTAGGTGTCCATATGTAAGTGTAAATGTAGGTGTCCATGTGTAAGTGTAAATGTAGGTGTCGATATGTAAGTGTAAATGTAGGTGTCGATATGTAAGTGTAAATGTAGGTGTCCATATGTAAGTGTAAATGTAGGTGTCCATATGTAAGTGTATATGCAGGTGAACATATGTAATTGCGAATGTTCACATGTAGGGACCCGTGAAGTTTCGGGGTAGAATAGGTCTTCAGCAACCCATGCTTGTCGTAAAAAGCGACTATGCTTGTAAAAGGCGACTAACGGGATCGGGTGGTCAGACTTGCTGACTTGATTGATGCATGTCATCGTATCCCAATTGCGTAGATCGATGCTCATGATATCAGTCACTGGATTGCCTGGTCCAGACTCGATTGTTTACAGACCAAAATAAACATGTATGTTGGGACTTGTCCAGGGAAAGTCTCTTTTTTACCTGCGTCAAATGTAAGCCATATTCCAGCCAAATACAACTGGGCCCACTTGCACAAAGCGATCTTAGCGCTTAGATGATCGTAACTCCCATACTTTAATACAGGCTTACAATAGTCGTAGTGCTGAGATTGCTTTGTGCAAGCGGGTCCAGGATTGGACTTCATACACAGTACAAATTTTGGGAATCAAACATATTTGCTCTGCGAGGCTTAACGCTAGGCTGTTCGCTCCTTCTACTCCAGATAGACACCAGGAATATGCATTCTGTCGCAAGAACGTAAAAATCATTATGATGGAAATTTATTAAATTAATCTGTTATGCATAGGTAATCGCTGTATTCGACACCATTTAAAATCCATGTGATCTATTATGTTATCAGGGCAATCGAAATATTTGGTCAACCGTGGTGCATATAATTAATTACACTGAACGTCAGACAACCCCACATCTGCACAGTCAGGACAACGAGCAGGAGCACTGTCATCCAAGCACATATTTGTAATCGATGAAACTCAAAAGCGCAACAGATGGCATTATCGCACCACAATAATAACCGCAAGGGCCGGGGAGCCTGTCACAGCATCAGTGAATCAACAGGCTGGGAGAAACCACGGGAATATGACGTGGAGAGCGGGCCGTTTCCATTTCAGTCATGTAACATTCACCTGCAGAGTGTGGTCGAAGTGCTTGGTATATGGTCACAGTGTTAAGAGTCTGGTCACGGTGCCAACATGTTTCTGTGATGAGAGGTCAGCTGGCGTGAGTCTTTTTGTGCTTCATTAATAGACGATGAAGGGCCTATACGTGTGTCTCTCAAATGATTTATGATTGGACTTGATGACTTTTTTAGAAAGCGGTTGATTTAAATGGGGATTTTTAAGAACGGGTCTGGTTCGTATGGTGAGAAGACATGACGATGGCAACAAACAGATCCGACAAGAAGCTTGGAGGAGAGGATGAAGATGAAGATGTTACTTCAGGGGGTACATTGACACCAGGGGGGGAAGCAAGGGATGGTGATAGTTCCAAAGGTGGCACTAAGGTGTCAGAAGGTCAAGATGGTAAAGATGAAGACAAGGATGAAGTGTTGGATGCGGGGGAGTCTGGAGCAGGACGTACCTGCTGTCCTGTGCGGTACTGCATCATAGCGCTCATGTGTATAGGGATGGTTCTAATTAACGCTATGAGGACAAACGTGGGTTTTACTGTGATGACGATTCTGGACGAAACAGCCCACGAGAAAGTTGGAACTCTGCAGGCTCTCATTAACGTAAGTAACATCAGTAATTATAAATAAATCTACTTGGAATAAAAGAGCACAGGGTTACCTCTAGCCTTTGATAGGCATTAGAAGTTTGAAGAACATGGAGATATGAAGATATACGGAATAACAACTTCTGCATTGTTTTTTAACTTTTCAGGGCTACGTCTTTCCCCTTCACCAGTTAGTGAAATAAAAGAAATTACGACCACATGAAAAAAAGACACATCACCTTTTTCTCCCTTTGAGGACTATGAATTCATGTGACACATATTATTATGGAAACTGCAAATGAAAGTGACAAAAAACATTTCAATAATCATACGAATTCTCTACTCAAAGCAGAGTCCGTTGTACGATTTCAACTATATCATAAGCACGTGTCTGACTCCAAAAAGAAATAAAATAATAAAAAATAAAATAAAAAAATGAACAAGACAAAAAATAAAATTCAAAATAAAATAAAATAAGCATGTGTCTATGAATTATCATCAAACCGTGATGATGAGTACCAGGTGAAGGCTGTTGTTTTAAAGTATACACTAAATATAATAAAATAATTCCTACTATTTTTATAGAACAAGTATACTACATCAGTCTTAAGAGCGTGATGTAAATGGGTAGCCATCTTAGATGAGGTAAAACAATTGATTTCACGGCGTGCAAACAAAACTGTCTTTTAAATATAATCCGTTCATTGTTTTGTTGCCTGCGTATTTTTCTGTTCTAATAAGCTTAAAATAAACAATCAGTTAATCAATTTTCATTGTACAGATTGTAGGTCAGTTGGCCTTGAAGCAATAAATATTGATTGATTGATTTATTGATAATGATACACGCTGACTGCCAGGACTATGTCACAAACGGGCAAACATAAGAAAGAGAAAAATGCTTGAATATATCCGATAAATTTCAAACACGTTTCAAACACGTTTCTTTGAGATTTGTAGTGTATCCACGTTGCATTTCACAGAAGATGTTGGGTCTATCTTGAGGCAATTGAATTCCAAGTACACTTTAGACTCTGTAAGATTTTGATTATTTTTTGAAAACACATATTTGACATTCTGAGCAGGACATTTGTATTTTTTTAGTAATTACTATGTGCAATGCTGGACTTCCTTGTTGAAAAAAACTACCTCAAATTTGGGGGTAAGACATTTAGGAAAGATGTAGGCATCCCCATGGGCACTACTTGTCCTCCCCTTCTTGCGGATCTATTTTCATGCATATGAATGGGGATTTCTGCCAGGAATGCCAAAGTCAAAACAAGCCAAGACGTTTAACTTCAGCTTCAGGTATATCGATGATCCGATATTGTTCAATTCCCAATCCCCTTCCACTGATTTACCCACCTGAACTAGACTGTATGACAAGAGGGATGACTTCAACTTTCCGATAGTCAACTTTTCCTCCATGCAAGCAATATTTCAGCAGTTCCAGCCTTTGGTGTTTACATTTCACATCTTTTGAGATACAATCGGGCATGCTTTTTCTACCAAGATTTCAAAGAGCGTCATGCGACTCTTACTCAGAAGTTGTTTGATCAAGGTTACAACATTCAAGCCTCAGGAAAGCTTTTAAAAGTTTTATGGTAGACATGTAGATGACATTTCCAAATTGGACGCATCAGTGACAAAATGATGTCCACTGCAATTCCCTATTTTGACTTGTTGCACATGTTCCCTTGTTTTTGTCAGGTGAACAATTGACTTGCCTTTACATGTGTTTGTGACCGGTGCCACCGGTGGGACAGGGTACGCTCGCCTTTTTATCGAACACCTGGTTTCATCACTATTTGATAATGATTCATAAATACATGCTCAAGATATAGTCGGACTCGTTCAACCAACTCTGCTAGAGGTTTCTATTGGATACGGAAAGGTTTTTGTCACTTTCTTTACTCAAATTAGGGTTACAGTGAACTACGTTTATAACGAACACGCTTATAACGAACTGACGGCTATAACGAACTGTTTTTTTGGTCCACGCCATTTGCTGTAGTGAGTGAGTGAGTTGGGTTTAACGCCGCTTTTAACAGTATTCCAGTTATATCGCGGCGTGTCAGCTTAATGTGGGAGGAAAGCCCGAAGTGATGCAGGTCTCAGACTTTTACCACTTCGGTGAAACCCACGAGCACGGGTGTCGTGCTGACAAACCTAGAAACATAATCGGGGCGAACCGGGATTCCAACCCACAATCATAGGTTTCTGGCGTGCCCAAGGGACGCAACTCTGCACAGCGAATCGCGGCGCCTTAGACGACTGGGCCACCCGTGCCCCCGTATATATGCTGTATACGTGTATATATATTTATAACGAACTACAATTATAACTTTTATTATAACTAAAATAAGTGGTCCCTTTAAGTTCGTTATGACCGTAGTTTACTGTATTGGCATTGCATTGTACACGATTTGCACCTCTCCCCTGATACGTGATTCATTGTACACACAGGTGATTAATATGACTGATATGTGAAGCAAGGTACATGATAATTAGATAATTGTTTTGGATATCACTAAATTGTTGTGCCTTTGGCAGTAGAACCTGGTGATGTGAACATTTGTATTATTTAACGTAATGCACGATAGAGCAGTCGGCCAGCCTGCGTAACATTCAATATATCCTATAAGGTCTATTAAATATGATAATACTTCTAATGTATATATTAATAATTAATATGTTTGCCCCTCAACTCATAGAATTTCTTTCTATGAGAAAATATGCTCACTGAAATAAAAGCCAGATTACTATGGTTGAAATACAAAAAATAAGTATATATTTTTTTTCCGGAAAAAAACCAGAACAACAACTTTATTCCAATTATATATTGAGTTACCAAAATAGTTATTATCTTTATTTCAACCTACACAAACTAACTGGTAAGTAAAATATCCACAAACAATTAAAAGGTATTCATTTATCTGCATCGTGTTATATTTGTAATAATTATAGTACAGTAAACTACGGTTATAACGAACCCGAAGAGACCACTAATTTTAGTTCGTTATAACCGTAGTTCGTTATAAGCATATATACAGCATAACTACAGCAAATTTTAGGGACAAAAAAGTAAGTTCGTTATATCCGTCAGTTCATTATAAGTGTGTTCGTTATAACCGAAGTTTACTGTATTAAACAGCTATTTTATTCAGGTGCATAAAAGGAAAAACTCAGCAAGGACCAGTGTCAAGATCCATTGTTTGTGTTCGATAGTTCTTATCTTGAGTAAAAGGCGACTATGCTTGTCATAAGAAGCGACTAACGCATGTAATCGTATCCAAATTGCGTGGATCGATGCTCATGATGTCAATCACTGGATTGTCTAATTCAGACTCGATTATTTACAGACCGCCATAATATAGCTGGAATATTGCTGAGTGCGGCTTTAAACAACAAACAAACAAATAATCTCGTCTTGAATGTTGCAATCTTTTCCGATTCAAACAGATCTTTGAGACATTGAGACACGCACACTACTGTGGTTTTCGTGTTTTGCCCGGGGGTACGGGTGTTCCAGTCGTCTAAGGCGCCGCGATTCGCTGTGCAGAGTTGCGTCCCTTGGGCACGCCAGAAACCTATGATTGTGGGTTGGAATCCCGGTTCGCCCCGATTATGTTTCTAGGTTTGTCAGCACCATACCCGTGCTCGTGGGTTTCACCGAAGTGGTAAACGTCTGAGACCTGCATCACCTCGGGCTTTCCTCCCACATTAAGCTGACACGCCGCGATATAACTGGAATACTGTTAAAAGCGGCGTTAAACCCAACTCACTCACCCACTCGTGTTTTGCCCGGGGCAGGTCACACAACAGTTGAGGTGCCTGATGGAAAACAGATCACATATATAATATAAGCAACAAAATACAAATCACAAGTCAAGTGTAGCGTGCACTTGGGTAAAACATACAATCCTCGTTGTTATATTTGTATTTAATGAATAATTAATCATGCATATGCAAATATATGAATGCTATGAATATATAGATTTGCAAAATTGAAATGTATGCATCTTTTGACATTCTACTTATACAAAACATAGATTGATATCAATTGTATTCTTTAAAAACTAATAGGGGGAAAGTACACAATCGCTGTCTGTAACGTATCAAAACTAAAAACACTGAAATGACACCAAAGGTGTATTGTCATATTGTAGTTGTCAGCAAGGTGTGTGCGTGCGTGCGTGCGTGCGTGCGTACGTGCGTGTGTGCGTGCGTGCGTGTGCGTTTGCGTGTGTGTGTGTTTAGCAGAGATTTCTTGTGGCTATGGAAAAGCTATTTTCGTTTTTATTTACATGGTTAAAGTCTCGCACTAACCAATACGTTTGGTGGTTCAAGGCGCGTGACATTCAAATAAAACATTCTTCTTCCATGAATCCTAGTAGTGACAGGTGAAAGGTGAACGTGCCACGACCATATCAACGTTTCAGATTCATTTTTGAATTTCATTTTTTCAACTTTTGTTTCAAATGTGTATATATTTGACGTTGGAATATGAACAGTGACGCGAACACACGGACATTTATAAAGTTACATTCAAATCAATACACACAGAGACGTCTGGATGAAAATTAAATATAGCATATTACAAATAAATGTCTTTATATATATCGTCTGCAAAAACAGATTCTATTGGGCATAAAAGGCAAACTAGTGGTGAAAATCAGTGATGACACCAGGTGTTCGCGAAAGGGATAAGCATGTCCTGCCCTACCGGTAACACCATGATATGAAACTAAAAACTAGAAGCATAAAGCGCCACTGCATGAACACCTGTTTTACCTGTTACTGAACACACCAGTCCAGGCACTGTAACATGACAACGACGGCAGCCCCTGTTCTATTGTCAACAGCAACATGATAATATCAATAACATTTTAAACATTACAGTATTTGGGATGTAGGCAAACTGAAGTTGACGACAATAGGGGTCCGCTTACATCTAAACTGAGGAGCAAAAGAAACTACTAACATGTATACTTTTCAGTTGATTTTATGTTTGATTTTCAATTGAAAATAGCCTAAGTAATACGCCATGTTATATAACACACTGAACTGGCGGCTTACCAACACTCAAAGAACACTTCTATGTGTTGTTTAATAAAATTTACTTTTTTTCGGCTCATATTTGCATTTTAAACATGGAAGGGGTTACGCTGTTGCAATTCATTTCTTACCCCTGTCTTCATTGAACGAAACCCAGCCACAGATAACCTTTAACAAACCTTTGCAGGAATGAGTGATGGTTAAATAGACATAATCAAATTTAACGATAGTTCTTTCAATTTTGAATTGAAAAAAACCCCAAAACTCAAATTCAAATGCTTATTTTATGAAAGGCCATAGACCCAAATATCGAACTTGACATTTGCATACAGGTGCAAGTACCCAAATCAAACCGTGGTCTAGTGGTAGAACGCCTGCGAGCGGAATCCGATCCCCGCCGCGTCATACCAAAACACTTTAAAAGATGTTACTTGTTGTTACCCTGCCTGGGGGTTGGCATTAGGGTGCTAAAACAGGGACTGGTCGGCTCGAAGTCAGTATACTGTGTCTGAGTGGGGTATTCATGTTTAAATGCAGCATGGTATCTCAGTAGGCCAGCTCTATATAGTCGGCATTAGTCCGAACTAGTGCAAACACACACACACACACACACACACACGCACGCACGCACGCACGCACGCACGCACGCACGCACGCACGCACGCACGCACGGAAACGCGCACAGAAACACGCACGCACGCACGCACACACACACAATCACACACACGCACACACACGCTCGCACGCACGCACGCACGCACGCACGCACGTACGCACGCACGGAAACACGCACAGAAACACGCACGCACGCACGCACACACACACAATCACACACACGCACACACACGCACACACACGCTCGCACGCACGCACGCACGCACACACACACACGCACGCACGCACGCATGGAAACACGCACAGAAACTCGCACTCACGCACACACACACGCAATCACACACAATCACACACACACACACGCTCGCACGCACGCACACACACACACAATCACACACACACACACACGCTCGCACGCACGCACGGAAACACGCACGCACGCACGCACGCACACACATATCTGTACAGAGACGTTGAAATCAAGAAACTAACTCTGCGGTCATTGTTACTAGCTTCTAAAATGTCACTTAAACAATTAGTATGCTCCATTGATTGAAGTTTAATATCATTCATCAAACCTCTATCTACTGTATCTAAAATATGGAATATTCGGGTCACCTCTGGCTGATATAACAGTGATGTTCATCCAGGAAGCCAAATCTTGGACACTGAGGGCTACGATGTAGTGGTCAGTGGGATAGCCACTGTGTCGTCTCACAATATTGCATTTAAATATAGGACATAGTTTGGAATGTATACTATAATATACATATGTACGGCCGACGTATGTACATTAAGCTGACTTTCGATAATTAATTTGCGTGTTTCTAATATTTGATTATAAGCAAATCTTTAGCCCTATTTGATATTCGGATGTAGATAAAGACGATACAAACGTTTAGTATGTGTTCATTTGTGGACTTTCGATAATTAATTTGCGTGTTTCTAATATTTGATTATAAGCAAATCTTTAGCCCTATTTGACTTTCTCGGATGTAGATAAAGACGATACAAACGTTTAGTAAATGTTCATTTGTGGACTTTCGATAATTAATTTGCGTGTTTCTAATATTTGATTATAAGCAAATCTTTAGCCCTATTTGACTTTCTCGGGTGTAGATAAAGACGATACAAACGTTTAGTATATGTTCATTTGTGGACTTTCGATAATTAATTTGCGTGTTTCTAATATTTGATTATAAGCAAATCTTTAGCCCTATTTGACTTTCTTGGATGTAGATAAAGACGATACAAACGTTTAGTAAATGTTCATTTGTGGACTTTCGATAATTAATTTGCGTGTTTCTAATATTTGATTATAAGCAAATCTTTAGCCCTATTTGACTTTCTCGGATGTAGATAAAGACGATACAAACGTTTAGTATATGTTCATTTGTGGACTTTCGATAATTAATTTGCGTGTTTCTAATATTTGATTATAAGCAAATCTTTAGCCCTATTTGACTTTCTCGGATGTAGATAAAGACGATACAAACGTTTAGTAAATGTTCATTTGTGGACTTTCGATAATTAATTTGCGCGTTTCTAATATTTGATTATAAGCAAATCTTTAGCCCTATTTGACTTTCTCGGATGTAGATAAAGACGATACAAACGTTTAGTAAATGTTCATTTGAGGACCACGGAATCATAGTTCAATTAGGGCTTGAATATCCGTTCTTGATCAAGTCTAAATTTAAAATTCATTTAAAACTGTTTAACCAATATTTCAAGGTTTTCTGAAACTAAAAAATTTGACATTTATAGATGACCATAAAGGACCCATTTTCTTGTGTACGAAACTAAACCTAACAGTTCATCCAAATGAAACATCTGTTGTTGTCATAATAAATATATATTATCAATTAATAATCAATGTAGTATCCAGAATTATACGCTAATACACTATCGAATAACCAGACCCGAATAGAACATTTTCCGTTGGGCGTAAAAGGCACAATGGTGGCGAAGCTATGAAAACCACCTTCCTGATACAGATCATATTGCCATATGTTCCAATCATCTTCGGGGCGGTGGGGTAGCCTAGTGGTTAAGGCGTTGGCTCGTCACGCCGAAGACCCGGGATCGATTCCCGAAATGTGTACAATATGTGAAGCCCATTTTTCGGTGTCCCCCGCTGGCGTAAAACCATACTCAGTCACTCACTCCAATCACCTTCCGTAAGCCCGACTAATATCAAGCCTCTGAAATGAACATATTTTACGGAGAAAAACAGTTCTTAAATTATAGTTATGAAATATAAAAAAGGGAGGCCAGACAGTCTCTTGATACTGCAGTAATCTACACTTGCTAAATATTATAGATGTGCATGGTCTGTGTGACAAACTAGAGTAGCTCCTTCTGAGACTGTAATTACTATTATTGACTCGTTTTCAGTTTCCCGTAACGTTTGAAAAGCGTGTTCAATAATTTCCCATTCCATCAACAGCTGCAGCGACTGGGGGTGAGGTTATTATTGCAATAGTTTTATTTAAGATTAAGCGTTTTTCCTTTTAAATAGGACTTTTGGAAAAAAATATTTCTTTTTTGTTTTAATATTTTTATACACTCTTATCACCCTCTCCTTTAAGGATTCCGACGTGTTTTATCAAACCAACTCACTTGTGAGAGGCGACTCATGATCTGATGATTGCAGAGCTGGTTGATTTTTTCATCATTCTTTATTGGCGTGGTTGGCAGGGTTGCCAAATGGTAACAGTGTTGGCTCGTCATGCAGAAGACCCGAGTTTGATGCCCGACAATGTGTGAAGCCAATTTCTGGTGTCCCCCGCCGTGATATTGCTGGAATATTGCTGAAAGCGGCGTAAAACCATTCTCACTGACTCAACCGTTTCTTATTTACTGGTTTGTCATGGTCAGGAATATTTTTGACTGCAACGAAATATAGCATCCCACTTCTTCATTGTTACCCCTTTTGGAAAAAATCCCAACCTATTCCAAAATATTTTTCCGTTTTCATTTTTCAACTTTTTCTTGAACCACATGGCACCCCTTTTATATATTATGTCGGCGTAGTGTGACAACATATATGAGTCTGAAATTACTTATATTATCATCTTATGCGGAAGGCATATTTGATCTATTTACCAACTCCCTGTTTTGTACTACTCAAAAGAACTTAATGAACAGACCCGTGAAGAGCCTGTATAGAATAGGTCTTCAGAAACCCATGCTTGCCGTAAAAGACGACACATGTCGTAAAAGGCGTGTAACGGGACCTTGGTTGATGCATGTCAGTGTATTCCAATTGCGTGGATTGATGCTCATGATGTCAATATAGCTGGAATATTGCTGAGTGCGGTGTTAAACAACAAACAAAAAGACAAACGAGGAAAAGTTAATGTCTCATACCATTACCGTGACATGTAATCTGTCATGGCATCACATTCTTTCACATTTCTACAGTTATACGGTTATTATGTAATCTGTGTTCCTCATCTTCTTTTGAGTAGTATATATTTTTCCAGGTATCATGAAAATAACCGGCACTTACACAAATAAACAATATTGGGTGATATGTAAATTTTTTAAATTATAACTCTCCAGAACAGAAAAAGTTCAATGTACTTCATTTACATACACATCTACTTCCAATACCCTGACTTTTTATAAAAGGCTGCATTTTTTTGTCATGAATTTGAATGTTTATGTCGTTGTTAATACGAAAATAAATATCCACTTTTTGCATTTTGTATTTACAGATAATTGTGTGCTTCTGTGAATGTAGATCTGTTTGTATTTAATGAGAATCCACAGTCTGTATGTCAGTGTGTGTGTACGTCCACTAATACGGAAATGAGAATCCTCAGACTTTATGCCAATGTGTATGTGCTTCCGAGCGTAGAGAAATGAGAATCCACAGTGTTTATGTCAATGTGTATGTGCTTCCGAGCGTAGATAAATGAGAATCCACTGTCTTTATGTCAATATGTATGTACGTCCGAGCGTAGAGAAATAAGAATCCACTGTGTTTATGTCAATGTGTATGTACGTCCGAGCGTAGAGAAATGAGAATCCACTGTCTTTGTGTTAATGTGTGTGTACGTCCGAGTGTAGAGAAATGAGAATCCACTGAGTTTATGTCAATGTGTGTGTACGTCCGACCGTAGAGAAATGAGAATCCATTGTCTTTGTGTTAATGTGTGTGTACGTCCGAGCGTAGAGAAATGAGAATCCACTGTCTTTATGTCAATGTGTATGTGCTTTGGAGCGTAGAGAAATGAGAATCCACTGTGTTTATATCAATGTGTTTTGTACGTCCGAGTGTAGAGAAAGTAGAATCCACTGTGTTTATGTTAATGTGTATGTACGTCCGAGTGTAGAGACATGAGAATCCACTGTCTTTGTGTCAATGAGTATGTACGTCCGAGCGTAGAGAAATGAGAATCCACTGTCTTTGTGTCAATGTGTGTGGACGCCCGAGCGTAGAGAAATGAGAATCCACTGTGTTTATGTTAATGTGTGAAGACGTCCGAGTGTAGAGAAAGTAGAATCCACTGTCTTTATGTTAATGTGTATGTACGTCCGAGTGTAGAGAAAGTAGAATCCACTGTGTTTATGTTAATGTGTATGTACGTCCGAGTGTAGAGAAAGTAGAATCCACTGTGTTTATGTTAATGTGTATGTACGTCCGAGTGTAGAGAAAGTAGAATCCACTGTGATTATGTTAATGTGTATGTACGTCCGAGTGTAGAGAAAGTAGAATCCACTGTCTTTATGTTAATGTGTATGTACGTCCGAGTGTAGAGAAAGTAGAATCCACTGTGTTTATGTTAATGTGTATGTACGTCCAAGTGTAGAGAAAGTAGAATCCACTGTCTTTATGTTAATGTGTGTGTACGTCCGAGTGTAGAGAAAGTATAATCCACTGTGTTTATGTTAATGTGTATGTACGTCCGAGCGTAGAGAAAGTAGAATCAACTGTGTTTGTGTCAATGTGTGTGGACGCCCGAGCGTAGAGAAATGAGAATCCACTGTCTTTATGTTAATGTGTGTGTACGTCCGAGCGTAGAGAAGTGAGAATCCACTGTGTTTATGTTAATGTGCGTGTACGTCCGAGCGTAGAGAAATGAGAATCCATTGTCTTTGTGTCAATGTATATGTACGTCCGAGTGTAGAGAAAGTAGAATCCACTGTGTTTATGTTAATGTGTATGTACGTCCGAGTGTAGAGAAAGTAGAATCCACTGTGATTATGTTAATGTGTATGTACGTCCGAGTGTAGAGAAAGTAGAATCCACTGTGTTTATGTTAATGTGTATGTACGTCCGAGTGTAGAGAAAGTAGAATCCACTGTGATTATGTTAATGTGTATGTACGTCCGAGTGTAGAGAAAGTAGAATCCACTGTGTTTATGTTAATGTGTATGTACGTCCGAGTGTAGAGAAAGTAGAATCCACTGTGTTTATGTTAATGTGTATGTACGTCCGAGTGTAGAGAAAGTAGAATCCACTGTGATTATGTTAATGTGTATGTACGTCCGAGTGTAGAGAAAGTAGAATCCACTTTGTTTATGTTAATGTGTATGTACGTCCGAGTGTAGAGAAAGTAGAATCCATTGTGTTTATGTTAATGTGTATGTACGTCCGAGTGTAGAGAAAGTAGAATCCACTGTCTTTATGTTAATGTGTATGTACGTCCGAGTGTAGAGAAAGTAGAATCCACTGTGATTATGTTAATGTGTATGTACGTCCGAGTGTAGAGAAAGTAGAATCCACTGTGTTTATGTTAATGTGTATGTACGTCCGAGTGTAGAGAAAGTAGAATCCACTGTGATTATGTTAATGTGTATGTACGTCCGAGTGTAGAGAAAGTAGAATCCACTGTGTTTATGTTAATGTGTATGTACGTCCGAGTGTAGAGAAAGTAGAATCCACTGTGTTTATGTTAATGTGTATGTACGTCCGAGTGTAGAGAAAGTAGAATCCACTGTGATTATGTTAATGTGTATGTACGTCCGAGTGTAGAGAAAGTAGAATCCACTTTGTTTATGTTAATGTGTATGTACGTCCGAGTGTAGAGAAAGTAGAATCCATTGTGTTTATGTTAATGTGTATGTACGTCCGAGTGTAGAGAAAGTAGAATCCACTGTCTTTATGTTAATGTGTATGTACGTCCGAGTGTAGAGAAAGTAGAATCCACTGTCTTTATGTTAATGTGTATGTACGTCCGAGTGTAGAGAAAGTAGAATCCACTGTGTTTATGTTAATGTGTGGACGTCCGAGTGTAGAGAAAGTAGAATCCATTGTGTTTATGTTAATGTGTATGTACGTCCGAGTGTAGAGAAAGTAGAATCCACTGTGTTTATGTTAATGTCTGTACGTCCGAGTGTAGAGAAAGTAGAATCCACTGTGATTATGTTAATGTGTATGTACGTCCGAGCGTAGAGAAAGTAGAATCCACTGTCTTTATGTTAATGTGTATGTACGTCCGAGTGTAGAGAAAGTAGAATCCACTGTCTTTATGTTAATGTGTGTGTACGTCCGAGCGTAGAGAAATGAGAATCCACTGTCTTTGTGTCAATGTGTGTGTACGTCCGAGCGTAGAGAAATGAGAATCCATTGTCTTTGTGTCAATGTATATGTACGTCCGAGTGTAGAGAAAGTAGAATCCACTGTGTTTATGTTAATGTGTATGTACGTCCGAGTGTAGAGAAAGTAGAATCCACTGTGATTATATTAATGTGTATGTACGTCCGAGTGTAGAGAAAGTAGAATCCACTGTGTTTATGTTAATGTGTATGTACGTCCGAGTGTAGAGAAAGTAGAATCCACTGTGATTATGTTAATGTGTATGTACGTCCGAGTGTAGAGAAAGTAGAATCCACTGTGTTTATGTTAATGTGTATGTACGTCCGAGCGTAGAGAAATGAGAATCCACTGTCTTTGTGTCAATGTGTGTGGACGCCCGAGCGTAGAGAAATGAGAATCCACTGTGTTTATGTTAATGTGTGTGTACGTCCGAGCGTAGAGAAATGAGAATCCACTGTGTTTATGTCAATGTGTGTGTACGTCCGAGCGTAGAGAAATGAGAATCCACTGTCTTTGTATCAATGTGTGTGTACGTCCGAGCGTAGAGAAATGAGAATCCATTGTCTTTGTGTCAATGTGTATGTGTCAATGTGTGTGTACGTCCGAGCGTAGAGAAAGTAGAATCCACTGTGTTTATGTTAATGTGTGTGGACGTCCGAGTGTAGAGAAAGTAGAATCCACTGTGTTTATGTTAATGTGTGTGGACGTCCGAGTGTAGAGAAAGTAGAATCCACTGTGTTTATGTTAATGTGTGTACGTCCGAGTGTAGAGAAAGTAGAATCCACTGTGTTTATATCAATGTGTATGTACGTCCGAATGTAGAGAAAGTAGAATCCACTGTGTTTATATCAATGTGTATGTACGTCCGAGTGTAGAGAAAGTAGAATCCACTGTGTTTATGTTAATGTGTGTGGACGTCCGAGTGTAGAGAAAGTAGAATCCACTGAGTTTATATCAATGTGTATGTACGTCCGAGTGTAGAGAAAGTAGAATCCACTGTGTTTATGTTAATGTGTGTACGTCCGAGTGTAGAGAAAGTAGAATCCACTGTGTTTATGTTAATGTGTGGACGTCCGAGTGTAGAGAAAGTAGAATCCATTGTGTTTATGTTAATGTGTATGTACGTCCGAGTGTAGAGAAAGTAGAATCCACTGTGTTTATGTTAATGTCTGTACGTCCGAGTGTAGAGAAAGTAGAATCCACTGTCTTTATGTTAATGTGTGGACGTCCGAGTGTAGAGAAAGTAGAATCCATTGTGGTTATGGTCATAGTATGTACGTCCGTGCGTAGGCATATACAGTATTCCTCAATTGGAAAGAGAAGCCACTATTTGCATCTTAATGTGTTTCGCTATGTAGATCTGCTTATAATTTATATAAATGAAAATCCACTGTTAATGTATTAATGTATGCCTGTATGTCGACACTGAGATGCAACTGTTTTTATACTAATGTGTATGTGTAGCTTCTGATATATTAATAGGATCCCATCGTTTATTTGTTAATGTTTATATGTGCTGATGTGGTAACAAGAACTCATCCTTTGCCAGCTCCCGAACGTCAATTGGGACACCCGGATGATCGGCTTCCTTCACAGTGTGTTCTATATAGGGTACCTCATCACGCATCTACCCGCAGGTTACCTAGCAACCAGAATTCCGTGTCACAGGTACGTGTATGGTATATTCCACTTAGTTTTCGGCCATCGGTTTCACTTCTTCTGTCAATATAAAGGTGCGGTGGTGCAGGTGTGAGTGAGTGAGTGAGTATGGTTTTACGCCGCTTTTAGCAATATTCCAGCAATATCACGGCGGGGGACACCAGAAATGGGCTTCACACATTGTACCCATGTCGGGAATCGAACCCGGGTCTTCGGCGTGACGAGCGAACGCTTTAACCACTAGGCTACCCGACCGCCCCTGGTGGTGCAGGAGCTTAACTGAGTGTGTGAGTTAATATTTAACGTCACATCGGTTATATTTCAGCCATATCGTGACGAAGTAGCTTAAAGGGCTATTGGGAGCTGCTTCCCTTGTGATGAGGGACAAACAATCCTATGAGGGTTCGAATCTTATATTCGCCCTGCTAATGATTCTGGACCTGTCAGCCCATTGTTCCTGGAGTTTACTAATGATGTATGCGTCCTCCATCTGTTAGGCTTCCCTACCACATTGAGCTGTCGCCAAGGTATATAACTGAAATAGTGTCTAGTGCGGCGTAAAACACAACTCACTCACTTATAACATAATTCAAGATTTAATGTGCTCCATTTTATCTGGAGCATTGGCATTCTTCGGAAAAAGTCTTCTGCAACCGCGCTTCTTACGACAAGGCGACTGTGCTTGTCGTAAGAAGCGCATAACGGGATGCGCGATGCTCGATGCTCATGATATCAATCACTGGATTATCTTATCCAGACTAGATTATTTACCGACTTTTTTTGGGGGGGGGGGGGGGGGGGGTGTTGGATCCTGTTATGGATAAGGGATACAAATTTGCATAGGAAATTCTTGATCCACCAATGCCGCCTGTTAGTTTTGAAAATGTTGTGGAACGATAACTATCCATGCGATTTTCTAGTTGGTACTATAAAAATACTCTCGTTTGAAACAGATTTATAAACCCCCATTAGTGTCACGAAAACAATTAGTCCTCTGTAAAATGATACAATTTTGAACATGAAACGTATACATATTGCAACATTAACGTGTAACTACGTGTATTAATTTAATTTACACTGTATAATAGTACATCGTGGTATGAATAAACAGTACTCTCAGCGTGTTACAACTGAACATATGACTGGAGATTGTGATTGTTGTTGGAATAAGTATAATGATAATGACCATAATTTCTTGGTTTTCAGGTTATATGGTGGCAGCATACTGCTGTCTTCAGCGCTCAATCTCCTCCTCCCTGTTTCAATAGATGAGATCAGCTTTGTATTTACCTGCATCATCCGGTTCCTGCAGGGGCTCAGTGAGGTGAGTGAGGTGATGGGATGGGTCCAGCTGTATCAGGGCACCGTTCTACGAAGCGAACTAAGCACTAGGGCCAGCGTAAATAAAAGCGACAAAACCCTTTTCATAATCATACGAAATGAGTTGTGTTGGAGATATAGTGAGTCAATGAGTGAGTATGGTTTTACGCCGCTTTTAGTAATATTCCAGCAATATCACGGCGGGGAACACCAGAGATGGGCTTCACACATTGTACCCATGTCGGGAATCGAACCCGGGTTCTCCGATATATCCCGAGAAAGTCAGCTTGGATCCTAGACTTACACATGCTAGGCAATAGATAAATAAACGCTTCCTGAAAACCCTTAATTCAACATTTTTGACTCATTAATATTATATTTGGTTTTATTATACAAACCATACAAGTGTTTAAAAGAAAAAAATATTCCATTCAAGTGAACAAATTTTCAAAATGATTTCTTAAAGTTTTGCCCTTTTCGTATCTTGTTCCGATCGTTTAAGAATGTTTCTTTGTGAAATACGTCATCCCTTGATGGTAGGTATTGTAATATGAACAATTACAAACGGATGGAATCACCTGTAATATCAGACACGGTGATGAGAATTTACACCAAGAACAGCTGGCGAGCCATCGACACAATGTGTTGCCGTCCCATAAACCACAATTTCCAATTATACGACACAAATATCCGAATATCATACTATTTTTAGAATTAAAGCTGTGGTATAGAGGGGCATACGAGGGGTGGCTGAAAATGTCTGAGTCTGTAATAAACTGCGTTGATACAGATGGTGACTAATTATTGTTCAACATAATCCCCCCCCCCCCGGTACCGTCAACGATGGTGAAGTGCCTGCATCTCGCTGGTGTAGAAGGCTTCTTCTTGATGGTGTAAAATAGTCCACTTCAGCAGAAATAACCGTTCTCTATTCAATGGGAAGAGGTGCAATGAATTCAAAGTAATTGTCATGCATTGCAGTTATGGGGATAACAGACATGTACACATTGCGCATTGTATTGGTGGTTATTAAGTTTTCCACGCCGTTTGGCCTTGATATTCTCTAGCAGTTGCTAAAGCAGCTCTGCATAATACCGACCATTAAAGGTCTAACCTTTCGGGAGGTAGTCTACCAGAAGGAGTACTTTGGATTCACAGAAAACCATCTTCCCAAGGCAAGAGAGTTAACTGACTTTAAATGTCCAGTTTCCACCCTTGCCGAACTAGGCTGGAATTCCTGGGAACGATCGTAGCGCCACCAGTTGTTATTACGAGTTATGTCCTTTCTATGCCTCTCCTATTGACCAATCAGATTCAACCTCTCGTATCACTTGCATTTGTTTCAAACAAAACGGTGGCGCCCAGTCAAGACGATCTGATTGATAATCAAGATCTATATTGTGATAAAACGAGTCTTACATCGCGAAGTGCATCAATTCACGTGAGCACCTTGATTAAAAACATGAAAAGATTTAGAAAATATCTGTTGACAACAAGTTAGCGGTGCACATGCTTTACAAATCCTTCAGTCGACCGAAATCTGCATGACACTCTACGAACCGGATTTTGATTTCGGTGCGCGATTTTGATTGGACTATGCATAGACTCGTTGGCCCAGCCAAAATCCAACTCCATAATGCCAGCCTAGTTCGGCAAGGGTGGAAACTGGACTTTTATAGTCAGTTAACTCACTTGCCTCGGGAAGATGACAGTAAACCGAACCCATCAACTGGCCAACTGACGGAAAATAGGAGACGTTATGTATGCCCAGTGCTTTGGCTATTGTTTAGTCTCATCAATGGTTACAAATCGCTTAACAAAATCCGCTGGGTCTGATTCTAAACGACGTAAATTGATGAACCTGGGGCGTTTCTGATCAGGAGTCAGAAGCCTTGGAACCCAGCAAGCGGAAACTTTTGTCATGCCCAGTTCATTCCTCAGGACGTTCTAAATTCGCTCATGAGAGATTCCTACTGTATTGTCTACGTGGGTGGCGGCATTTGAAGACCTTCCTGTTCTTAGATCCCTCTAAGAACTCCGCTGCCCATCTCCTAACAATGGCAAAGGGAGGAGCACCGTGCCCTAATGTTGCCACCATGTCCGCATAGTGGCTGGTGTAGATGCTTGATAACAGCTCGGTAGCCAAGTTGAATTCGGTCTTTCATCAACAGAGAATGCATTGTTACTTTGATGCTTACAGAAACGTGCTGCCTGGCTCTGTGTGTGGTTCGTGAGCAAGCCTGTAAGAATGGAAAGGCTTGTACGTCATACATGCAAATTATTTTATGCTGTTACCGTAATCAAATATAATTTGTGTCAAGCATTGTGATTAAGTATGCCCTAAGGTAATACAATCTGCACCGTAGTTAAGTAGAGTACCCGTAATCGTGAGCTATACATGCTTCGTAGGCTGAAAAATGTTCGGCTTCCGGCGTATTGACATATGTTACATAATCGCTGTTCCGTGACAGTCAGCATGGCTGAATTAATAATACAATACAGATAATAAAACGTGACTTTTTTTTAGCATTATTAACGTTATTGTACGTGCCCCTAAGTAATAACGGAAATAAAAACAGATGTTGGTAATAATGTATATCAACGATATAACTACACTACTGTGCAAAACAAAGTACACACTTGAAAACTGGTTAAAGGCCAACAGATTACAAACGTTATCAAAACGTTGCTAGGCTGAACGCTGGAATACTTCAAATAAACTCCAAAACACGACTATGATACTTGATCATCATCGAAAATCCATGTCGTGTTTGTTTCATTTTTAACCACCACCAAATATGGATGGGTATTTCCTTTTGCCCGGCAGTGTACTGAGTGGGTAAGTGAGTGTGGTTTTACGCCGCTTTTAGCAATATTCCAGCAATATCACGGCGGGGGACACCAGAAATTGGCAAATTCACACATTGTACCCATGTCGGGAATCGAACCCGGGTCTTCTGCGTGACGAGCGAACGCTTTAACCACTAGGCTGACGCTATGTCAGTACTCAAAGAATACTCCTACATAAAGTCTTTGAATGGTATTTGGAAGTGATACACATAAAGAAGAGAATTTATGGATGCCCTTGCTTGTTCGTGAGTTTTCTGCCTTCGTGGTCGAAAACACGTATGTGTAGCTGACCTCCTACTGATCGTGACATATCTTATCTTGACATCGATAGGTCGACCGTTCCTGTCATATATACTAGTAGCTAATACCTGTTGGTATATATATTGAACAAAAAGGTTAGGATCATGAATATTTGGGGGATATTTTCATGAAAGCATTAGCTCAGACTTCACTACAAAAATATATCTTCCAAAATATTAGTGATAGCTAACCTTTATGTTCAGAATATATATTTGCCATGACAAAAGGTTATTATCGCATACAATACAAGTTCTATGTTATCAACCTCAACAGGAATACCACTTACCAAAGAAATTGTTTCGCTCCTATCAGAGAATAAATGTGTATGTGTTTACAAACATGTTTCCGAAAAAATAACACACTCACTTAAAAAAAATAGAACTAAAAAATAAAAATTGAAATGAAATGAAATGAAATAACACACCCACTTAAAAAAAATAGAAATAAAAAATAAAAATTGAAATGAAATAAAATGAAAAGAAATAAAATAAAATATAATGAAATGAACGGAACGCTCAACTGTTTCAACACCACTGAAATCTAATATTTATTTTCACCTTTTCTGCCAATGGGAAACACCTGTTATTGAACGCTGAAACACGAAGCAGTATGTTGGAAACCGACCCGCTGTTGGTCAATATGTCGATTAAGCATTTTGATATGCCGGCTACTGTTTGGGATCGATCTGGTATGTCTTAGTGCAGTGTTCAGACACAAAGAGAAGTATATTCCTTGCTTCCCACGATGTAAGAGGGGGAGTTAATAGTACTGTTATAGAGACCACAAAGAGGGCTATTGTAGCTGTGAGTTACTCCTACGAATAGTATAGATTTTGCTGTAATTTAACACTTCTTTGCCCCATGTAATCATGGTATAACACAGTTGTGTGGGAGTGTCATTTCCCGTCTGTGACATAAAGTGGTTATTTACAAGGATATATTGTCCTTATTTGTCAACAGGTTATGTATTTTCTTGCAACAGCTGATTATGTACACATAACCATCCAGTAGATATGACAAACGTTGTTAATGACACACACACTGTCGGTGCGATAGGGTCACGAATCGCTATCAATATGCTGAGACGGATTAGCCGTATTCTCGTTTAACAAAGGGTCGGTATAAATCAATCCAGTTTAACAAGCGTCCGAGGCCCGCCATGAAGCAGATCGGGGAGCGGAGGCCCGGAGTCAGTATACTGTGCCTGGAGGGTATCCATGTTAAACTGCAGCTCCTATCCAAACTGCAGTTTATCTATGTTAAACTGCAGCATGGTATCTCATTAAACTAGCACTGTAAAAGTAGCAGTATCCCCGAGTAGTACAAGCAGTAACACACACACACACACACACACACACGCACACACGCACACACACACACGCACGCGCACACAAACACACACGCACGCACGCACGCACGCAAAAACACATACACACACAAACGCACGCACGCATGCACACACACACACACATACACGCACACACACACACGCACCCACGCACGCACGCGCACACACACACACACGCACGCACGCACGCACAAACACATACACACACACACACGCGCACGCACGCATGCACACACACACACACACACACACACACATACACTCACAACCTTCCCCACCGGTGGCACCTGTCACAAACACATGCAAAGGCAAGTCATTTGTTTACCGAAAAAAAACAGGGGAACATAGGTTTCAAGTCAAAATAGGGAATTGAATCGGACAGCATTTTTGTCAGGGATGCGTCAGATTTGGAAATGTCCTCCACATGTCTACCATAAAACATTTCGAAAGCTTTGCTGATGATGTTACCCTGAGCAAACAACTACTGGGCAAAAGTCGTATGGCGCTCTTTGAAATCTTGGTGAAAGAGCATCCTCGATATTGTACCTCAAAAGTTGTGAAATGTACACACCAAAGGCTGGAGCTGCTTGAATATTGCTCGACATGAAGGGAAAGTTGACTGTTGGAAAGTTGAAGTCACCCCTCTTGTCATACAGTCTTGTGTTTGGAGAGTGTTTGGTCACTCTGGATCTGTATGCATAGATATACGGTATTCGACGTAATAAGCGCCCCGCTCTAATAAGCGCCCACGGCGATATTTGCTAATATACTGGCTAGTGAACAATCCCAATTGGCACCCCTTCCGATTGATCAATGTACACAAGACTTATTTATTCGTGTATAATACGCACTCGTGTGTTATATGCACCCTTAATCATGGGCAATTAAATTCTGGAAAAATATATCTGTCGTACATAAACAGTTCAGACTGTCAGCATAAACCACGAAATTTATCTTTCAAATCTGTTTTTTTCCCACCAAAATAATATTCTAATAAGAGCCCCCTATTTCCAATTTTGAGGGGCACTTAATACGTCGAGCACGGTAAATGTGAAACAAATGAGGCGGTCTCACTGGCCTCCTTTATTGCTCGTTCAAGTGGGTAAATCAGTGGAAGGGAATAGGCTATTTGATTGTTATTGAACGATATCAGATCATCGATATACCTGATGCTCAAGTTAAACATCTTGGTCAAATTACCTTGTTTTGACTCTGCCATTCCGAGATGAGAGTCCGCCTCATATGCATGAAGAAACAGATCAGAAAGAAGGGGAGCACAATTGCTGCCCGTGGGGACGCCGACTTCTTGCCCAAATGTCTAAACTCAAAATTTTACATAGATGTTATCAATGAGGAATTCCAGCATCTCGCATACTGTTTTCTCTGTAAACTTTAGATGACATTTTTTATATGTAACTGCATCAATGATCTAAATGTTTTAGACAGTAAACACACACTAGACATGTTTACACGCGTCTAAATTATGAAACAATGGAGGCGTTGAGGTTTGTGTTTAGGATTTTTTACACTTTAGGAGTGAAATAATCTTACCGCGCCATCTTAACAATAAATCAGCCCAAATTCTTCCCCTGAACGAAGTAAAGTTAGTATACAGTTAACCTAGCTAATTTTTGTGTTCATTTGTTTACAATATTGTGCCTTCAATGTTTACAAAACTCTGCTATCCCCAGGGCTTGCTGTACCCCTCCTGTTATGGGATATTACGTCACTGGTCCACCCCCCAGGAGAGGGGGAGACTAGGATCAACTGTTCTGACAGGTGAGTGACGTGACACTGTAATACTTTCATGTATAATGGATATACTAGTATTTGCCTGATTATCAATTTAATTAAAATAAGATCTTAGTTCCCGCTACCGCTAAACAAAGATCTGAGTACATCCTATAACGGGTCACGTCAGAACGACCTTTCGCGAATTTTGACCGACGAATGAAATGACTGACAAGAAATCGACATTAGCCAATCAGAAAGCAGCTTCCTCGAGCTTTACGACACTAGTTTCAAACTGGCGACTACGCTTCGAAACATATTTTGACGTATTCTCAATTAAAAAAATTAAAACTTTTAAAAAGGACATTCTGGAATGGCTTACAGATGGCCTAGATTGCGTGGATATAATCATAAAACCCCTAACTGTCGTTCGGAATACCCCGTGTTAAATATTTCATGGTTGCATGATTAGAAAACGCATTCCGACTGTCACTTTCATGATCTGGAAAGCGACGCTCTGATCGGTTGGATGAAAGGTTGTTTTGACGTGATGTCCTTTAATTGGATGTCCTCATATCTTTGTTTAGCGATAGCGAGAACTAAGATCTGATTGTAATGAGATTGCCTGATTATGGCAGAGCGAATACACAAAGTAGATTGTTTCATGAATGTTGAAATGATGTTGTTGTTGTTTAACACCGCTCTCAGCAATATTCCAGCTATAAGAAGGCGAGTGTGTTAATAATCAGACAATCCAGTGAAATATTGAGCATCGATCCACGCAATTGCGATACGATGACATGCATCAACCAAGTCAGCGAGCCTGACCACCCGATCCCATTAGTCTCCTCTTAAGACAAGTATAGTCGCCTGTTACGGCAAGCATGGGCTGCTCAAGACCTATTCTCTACCCGGACCTTCACGGGTTAAATGTTGAAATGACTTGTGGTCATTTGGTATGGACATTTTAGCCTGTACACATCGACATGATGGTTTGGTAATACTCCTGGTCTACAGAAATGGTTACCCTTCAGTCAATATGTGGGTTTACACATAATCCATCTATTTTCCACGCAAAAACCGATATTTACACGATTAATTCAGGACCGTTAACCATTATTCTCAATTCTAAAGATACCAAAACGTTTTATTGCGGTTTTATCTATGTCATGACGTGAAACGATGGATTCCCGACTGTTCTGAGAAATAATGCAAAAAGGATAGCCGCTACAGCTATTAAATTGACCGTGAAGGCATCAGGTTGAGTTTATGGCCACGCGTATGCTGAAACCGTAGTGGTCTCTGTTATAGTTCACTATTGTAGGCCTCTCGGGTTTGATCGGGGAAACTCGCTCCCTGGATATAAATGTACACTCCCATCTTCCCGAGGCAAGAGTCAACTGACTATAAAAGTCCAGTTTCCACCCTTGCCGAAATAGGCTGGTATTATGGAGTTACATTTGGCTATGAGTATATGCATAGTCCAATCAAAATCGCGCAACGGAATCGAAATCCGGTTTGTAAACTGTCTTGCAGATTTCGGTCGAATGCAGGATTTGCAAAGCATGT